TCTCTCCCCCCTCCCCCAAACACAACAGATTTACCAGATGGAGGCAGCTGTCAGCTGCCTGTTTAGTCTATGGTCGAGTCTCTGAATCATCCAAATCTTTTCCAAATATTTTTCCAAATGGATTCAGATACTTCAAATTGATTCAGAGCTTTTACTTGGTTTCCCAATGCGATTAGGATTTGGAGATTTGGTCCCCAAATCATGCCAAATCTCCTCCAAATCGAATCAGCTACAGAAGCTTTGCACAGCCCTAGTATCTAACCTAGCCGCCATCCCCCAGTTCACTAGGAACTATCCAAGTTTATTCATTTTATCTGACAAATATTTAATGCAAGTTTCAGTAAGCCAGTTTCAAGTTGAGAGTCTGAGACTGACCTCAGCAATGTCTAGCTCATGGTCTGGTGGTCAAATCATTTTTTGAGAAGGGAGAGATACACTTTCAAATACCTTCTACATAAAGTAGAGACCTAGAAACTGTCTCCTGTTCTCTGGGCACATGCTACTATTATTGAGCTAAAAGTTGAGAGGACATATAATACCTACTTTACTTCCAGCAGGCACATATAAAAGGTTACCCTAAGATACTATAGATGGAAATACATCCCATACTGTACATAGGGGGACAAAATTGTGGCTACAGTAATGCCACTTCATCATGTAAAGGTCAAATCCACCTCCTATAACCAAAGTAAAAATTTGTTCTAAGCCCTCAGAAATCTAGAAAAGAGAGAAGGATCTTTCCTAAAGTGTTATCATTTTTGTTAATGTGCAAATATTTCTCCTACCCCCCAATGGTGTCACTGCTACTCCCTTCATAATCATGGGAATAGATTCTGTGATGGCACAGATGTACAGTACAGTATAATATAATCCAAAAGAGATATGCTTGTTTATTTGTTGCAACTGAAATAATAACTAAAAATAGGGCTCCTCAGACCTATAGGTGCTTAACCCACCATTAACAAGTAATGTTTGGGATTACAGAATAGTAGAAAACTTCACAGAGCAGGTGTAATAAGACCTTGCTGACATGCTTTTGTACATCAACACTGGGGGCAAAACAAATCCAAATGCAATATGCCAAGACAACACTGTTTGCTTTAAAAACTGTGCATTGTTGAAAAAAAGCAGACTTGGGGTAAATATCCCAATATACCATATTCACCCAAGAAAATGCTGAATTTAAGATGATTCCCCCCAGTATTAGATACTATACATGGAAAATATATACATCTGTTATCTGCATATAGTATCTAATTATTGGAAGGTTGTAAATTTGCCCTCCACAACCACTGTGGAGAAGTAAAAGCAGTGGCAGGGGGCAGGTGATGGGGAGACAGGCAGTAGGAAGGTGGTGGGGAGATCACAGGGGGGCAGACAGTGGGGGATAGGCAAATGGAGGGAGCAGAGAAGGACCTACAACACCAAGGGGTTTCTCTTTGGATGGGCAAAGTTTATGTACTATCTTTATCTTAGGGCTCTTGCAGTCTTTTCTTTTATATTATTCTAATTATTTGAGCTACTAATATTATACAGCATTGTATATAGTTACTGGGTCAAGTTTTTTCAGCAGCTACAGTGGATATCATTATTGACCTGAAGACCACTGAGATGTGCACATTAGGTACTGATATAACACTACTTTATCTGGAAGATTAAATAAAACAATACAATTATGATCCAACAAAGAGGAGGAAAGCAACACAAAATGATCAGAATTAATATTTCTCACACAGTCCACTGCATGCAAGGGATCAGAATCAGGTAAGGCAGTGGATGATTACATTCCTGCTGCTCACGAAGAGGGAAAAATTAATGGGGAGTGTCGTAGTAAATGGTAACTTGGGCAGCAGCGACCATGAGATGATTGAGTTCAGGATTCTGAGGAAAGGAAGGAAGGAGAGCAGCAGAGTTTGGGCCCTGGACTTCCGAAAAGTAGACTTCCATTTGCTCAGGGAATTCATGGGCAGGATCCCCTGGGAAGCCAGTCTGAGAAGGAGAGGAGTCCAGGAGATCAGGCTGTATTTTAAAGAAACCTTACTTAGAGTGCAGGAACAAACCATCCTAATGTGCAGGAAGACTAGCAAGTATGGTAGAAGACCAGCTTACCTTAGCAGGGAACTCTCCAGTAAACTAAATCATAAAAAGAAAGCTTATAAGAAGTGGAAACTTGGACAAACACCTAGGGAGGAGTATAAGAATATTGCTTGGGCATGCAGGGATGACATCAGAAAGGCCAAAGAGCAACTGGGGTTGCAACTAGCAAGGGACATGAAGGGTAACAAGGAGGGTTTCTACAAGCATGTAAGCAACAAGAGGAAGATTAGGGAAAGTGTGGGGCATCCTTACTAAATGGTGGAGGCAACTAAGTGACAGATGATACAGAAAAAGCTGAAGTACTCAATGCCCTTTTCACCTCAGCCTTCACAGGCAAGGTCAGCTCCCAGACTACTGCACCTGGCAGCACAGTTTGCGCAGGAGGTGAGCAGCTAACAGTGGTGAAAGCACAGATTAGAGACTATTTAGAAAAACTGGACATATACAAGTGCATGGGGCTGGATGGGATACACCTGAGGGTGCTGAGGGAGTTGGCTGATGTGATTGCAGAACCACTGGCCAACATCTTTGAAAACCTGTAGTGATCAGGAGATGTCTTGGATGACTGGAAAAGAGCAAACATAATGTCCATATTTAATACAGGGAAAAAGGAGGATGCAGGGAACTCCAGAGCAGCCAGCCTCACCTCATTTCCTGGAGAAATCATGGAGCAGATCCTCAAGGAATCCATTTCTAAGTACTTGGAGGAGAAGAAGGTGATTAGGAGCAGTCAGCATGGATTCACTAAGGGCAAGTCATGAAGTCTGACCAACCTGATCGTCTTCTATGATGAGATGACTGGCTCTGTGGATGTGGGGAAACCAGTGGATGTGGTGTACCTTGATTTTAGCAAGGCTTTTGATACAGTCTCCCACAGCATTCTCATAAACAAGCTAAGGAAGTGTGGGCTGGATGAATGGATGGCAAAGGGAATAGAAAACTGGCTGGAGCACTGGGCTCAAAGGATAGTAATTAATGGCTCAATGTCTAGTTGCCAGCCAGTATCAGAAGGAGTCCCAGGGGTTGGTCCTGGTGCTGGTTTTGTTCAATATCTTCATAAATGACCTAGAACAGGGGTGGGCAAAATGTAGCTCATGGGCCAGATGTGGCCTGCCAGGCCATTCTATCTGGTTCGTGGGACCCCTAAAAAAATTAGAAAATGAATAGTTATCTGCCCCTGGCTGCCTGTCATGCAGCTTTCGATGGCTTGCCAAAACTCAGTAAGCGGCCCTCTGCCTGAAATAGTTGCCCGCCCCTGACCTAGAAGATGGCATTGAGCAGGGGAAGGCAATTATTTTGGCCGGAGGGCCACTGACTGAGTTTTGGCAAGTCATTGAAGGCCACATGACAAGCAGCCAGGGGCAGATAACTATTAATTTTCTAAATGTTTTAGGGGGTTTGTGGGCTGGATAGAATAGCTTGGTGGGCTGCATCTGGCCTGTGGGCTGCATTTTGCCCACCCCTGGCATAGAGTGTACTCTCAGCAAATTTGAAGATGACACCCAGCTGGGGCGGATGGGGAGTAGTAGATATGCTGGAGGGTAGGGCTAGGATTCAGAGTGACCTAGACAAATTAGAGGACTGGGCCAAAAGGAATCTCAGGTTCAACAAGGACAAGTGCAAAGTCCTGCACTTAGGATGGAACAATCCCATGCACTGGTACAGGCTGGGGGCTGATTGCCTGGGCAGCAGCTCTGTAGAACAGGATCTGGGGGTTACAGTGAACAATAAGCTGAATATGAGCCAACAGTGTGCCCTTGTTGCCAAGAAGGCTACTGTCATATTGGGCTGTATTGGTAGGTGTGTTGCCAGTAGGGCAAAGGAAGTGATTACTCCCATTTATTCAGTCCTGGTGACGCCACATCTGGAGTACTGTGTCCCGTTTTGAGCTCCCTACTGCATAAAGGAAGTGGACAAATTGGAGAAAGTCCAGTGGAGAGCAACAAAAATGGTGAGGGGGTTGGGGCACATGACTTTTGCCACCTGGAGAGGGGTGGCTGGGGGAACTGGACTTATTGGGTGCGTCCAGATGAGCATGCACGTGCTTCTTGCAGCATCTCAAAGCCCTTTGGGATGCTGCAAGAGGCACATGCGGGAACAAAAAAACATTTCCCATGCTGCAAATTTGCAGCACAGGGACAAAATTAGAGCCCTGGATATCCAGGGGTCAAAAAATACCCTAGGGGGAAAAAGCGGGGCAGGGCACGGTCCAGAACAGTGCCCTGAGACAACTGGAGGCTTGGTTCTCCACACAGACGCTCTGGTAGCCAGTCAGGGCGTCTCTATTAGGGCTTTGCAAAGCTTCAGGTGCTGATTCAATTTGGAGATTTGGCCCAATTCAGTGGCCAAATCTCCAAAATCTGAACTGAATCAGTGGACCAGGTAAATGGTCTAAATTGATTCAAAGCTCTCCGAATTGATTTGGAAAAGATTTGGAGAGCTTTGGTGATTTGGGCAGTCCTCACCCACTGCAGCAGGGAGCTGGACACAGACACTGAGCTGGTACGTAGGGGGCGGAGGAGGGGAGGCTGGGGGAGGGGACCATGGGGGGCAAGCTTCCCTCCAAGATGTGTGCAGCTGCGCATGATTTAAAATCTTGCTTTGCATTAAGTTTTTAATGCCGCGCACCCGCCCAGAGAGGAGGTGGGCATGGAGTGTGGCGGAAACACCGGGGCCAGCGCGGGAAACTTACCGGAGGTAAGCTCCTCACTCCTCAGGCAGTGGCTCCTCCCCGAAGTGAGGTGGGGGCAGAGATGGGGGCAGGAGCAGAGATGGGGGCTGCCTCCTCACAGCACTGGGGAACTGCTCCGGCAGGTTTCTTTACTTTGTTGTAGCCGGAAATTCTGGGCATCACCCCTTCCGCTGCATGCGGTGTGCTGGGGCATTCATTTAGTTACTGGCTGAGTGGGGGAGGAGTTGCCAGCTCCACTCCTGCCCCAGCCCTGGCCCCGGCTCCAGCCCCGGCCCTTGCCTTGGCCCCGGGGAGGGATCAGGGGGCTCTGGAACTACATCCTGCAGGGGGTCCCCAGAGATTGTGGGCTGGCCCTGCATGTGATTTCCCCCCTCATACAAATTTTACACCACTGTGAGTTTCTATTTTTCAATTAAGTGACTGCTGATTTGCAAAGGCATAGTTGAAAAGAAAATATGGGTCTGTAAACACCATAGAAGGAAACCATTGCATGTAAACAGTTCACATGACTTCTAGTGGTGCACAGACCACTATTAGTGCTTTCTTTATTTTACTTTTCTTAGGCACAATGTTTGGGTAAAGCTATTTAATTTAAAATGTAAGTACCTATAGGAATTTCTTCATCAATACACACTCAAGTACAAATAATTAGATTCTCCTCTTGCATATATTAATTTGTATCATCACTCTACTGAGGTTATGCTGGTATCTGATTTTGTGTGAGGGGAATCAGACCCTAACCCTCTAGCTGTTTGTGACAACTGACAATTTTAACTCTTAAATCTATTCATGAAAGTATAATACACCTTAAACACAATATCTTGCTGCTGTTCTTGAGACACATTGCAGAGCCCACCAGGCTTATTCAAACAATATGTAAGAGTGCTTTAGCAGAACCCAGTTACTATTCAAGTAGTTATATGTTTGTTATGCTGTTAACAGGAGCGGACCAAAGTGGTGTGCTCATGGACCGAAGCGGTGTGCTCACGGATCGCTACACTTTAGAGGGAACATGGTTGGTGGGGGATCCCTGCCAGGCCTAATCCCCTGCCTGCTCCCCCAGCACCCTCCATGGCTGTCCTGCCTGCCCCAGCTTCCGGCCCTTTAAAAAAAAGCCCTCACTCACCAAGTGTTTCTGGGCAGGGTGGGAGATCCCCACTGGCCCATGCCGTGTGGGGGACTCTGTCATGAGCCCCCCAATCCACGCTCGCTGTCCCAGCACCCCCATGGCTTCTCCACCTGCCCCAGCTCCTGCCCTTTAAGAAAAAACCGAACCCAGCCCTGGACTCACCAGCTGCTGCAGCAGCCTTGGAGATTCTGGAGGATCATGCAGAGCCCCCCACATGGCACAGGGCAGTGCGGGGCAGCAAGGACTGCCCCCTGCTGGGCGGGAGCAAGTGATTCCAGGGTTGTTGTTCTTTTTAAATGGCCAGGAGCTGGGGCAGGCAGGGCAGCCAATGGGGGGGGCTGGGACAGTGGGTAGGGGTTGGAGGGCTTGTGGCAGAGATCCCCACATGGTGTGGGGCAGTGGGGGGCAGCGGGGGTTGCACCCCCACCTGGCAACACCTGGTGAGTGGGGGCTTTTTTTTTCCCAAAGAGCTGGGGTGGGTGGGGCAGCCATTGGCTGGGAGAGCAGGGGGGGATGGGGCCTATGTGATTCAGAGATTCAGCTGATTCAGCAGCAGCCGAATCTGAAAATCAGATTTGGCCGAATCGATTCGGGACAGTGATTCAACTCACCGAATTGAATCGCTGTCCTCAGAATTGGCTGAATCCAAAGTGAATACTATTCGCTTCATGCAGACCTAGTCTCTATGGCTGACACTTGCCCTGAAGCATGCTGCTTGCCTGTGCAGGGCAGGCAGTGTGCCAGTCACAGGGAGCTGGATCTGGGCTCTGTGCCAGTAAGTAGGGGGTGGGGAGTGGGGCTTAAAGAGGGGAGGGGAACCATTGGAGGACCCCTGCCAGATCCATTACCTGCCCGCTTCCTGAGCCCCCTGGATTGCTGCCCTGCCCAGCCCCATCCCCTACCTCCCCCTCAAGTCTCCCGATTGCTGCCCTACCTGGCCCCATTTGCTACCTTCCACTGAGCCCCACCAATCACTGCCTCATTTGGCCCCAGCATCCCGGCAATTAAAAAAAAAAAGCCCCGTACTCATTGGCAGTAGCAGCTGCTGTTGGGGTCACTAGGGTCTTGTGGCAGAGCTGTCTGCACAACACAGGGTAGCTGGGGCAGTGAGGACTGGCCTTGGCCATGTGGCACGCACACTGCCACTTCCTCATTGCATGGGTGTGGCCCGGGTTGGCAGGGTGCTATGTGGCTCTGTGGGCTGTTAGGTAGCTGGGGCCACTCAGGCTGAGTGGTGCCAGGCCCCAAGTGACAGCCACAGCAGCCCCAGCTGCCCGACAATGCGTAGAATTGTGTGGTGCCCTGCCAACCCAGGCCACACCTGCGCGATGGGGCAGTGGCAGTGAAGGTGCCAGGTGGCTGGGGCCGGTCCTCACTGCCCTGTGCTGTGTGACAGGGTTCTGCCATGAGTGACCCTGACAGCATCTGCTACAGCCGTTGAGTGCGGAGCTTTTTTTTTTTTTTTTGAATCCTGGACTGCTGGGGTTGGCGGGGCACCAGGGACAGGGCTGGGTAG